GGATGCCAGGCATGGTGGTGCGCACCTTTAATCCCAGCCCTGGGGAGGCAGAGGCAGGCAGATCTCTGTGAGCTCAAAGCCAGCCTGGTCCACATAGTGACTACCATGGGGCTGGGACTAGGGAGACCCTGTCAAAAACAAAAGAAAAAGGAAAAGCATACAGGAGCTGGAGAGATGGCTCAGTGGTTAAGAGCAATTGCTGCTTTTCCAGAGGACCCAAGTCTGGTTCCCAACACCTAAGGCAGGCAGCTCAGAACTGTCTGTAACGCCAGCTCTGGGATATCTGATGCCCTGTTCTGACCACTTTGGGTACCCAAACATGGGTGGTGCACTCACAGCCACAAACACATATGCATAAATAAAAGTTTTTTGAAAAATATTTTATTATTATTTTTAAATATTTTGTTTATTTTTATTTTATGTGTATGAGTGTATTTTCTGCACTTAGGTAAGTGCACCTGTGTCATGCACTTCCCATGAGGACAGAAGAGGCTGTCGGATCCCCTAGAACTGGAGTTATGGACAGTTGTTAGCCGCCATGTAGGTGCTGGGATTTGAACCGGGTCTTCAAGAACAACCAGTGTTCTTAACCGCTGAACCATCTCTCCAGCCCCTTATTTATTATTTTATGTGTATGATTGTAGTGCCTGCATGTAGGTAAGTGTACATGTGTCATGCAATGCCCACGGAGGACAGAAGAGGCTGTCTGATCCCCTGGAACTAGAGTTAATGGACAGTTGTTAGCTGGCGTGTGGGTGCTGGGAATCAAACCCAGGTCTTCTGCAAGAACAGTCAGTGTTCTTAACCGCTGAGCCATCTCTCCAGCCCCAGATTTTTAAAACTACATTATTTTAAAAACATAATGGTGGGCCGGGTGTGGTGGTGCACCCCTTTAATCCCAGCCCTCGGGAGGCAGAGGCAGGCGGATCTCTGTGAGTTCAAGGCCAGCCTGGTCTATATAGTGAGTTCCAGGACAGCTGGGGCTACAGGGAGACCCTGTCTCAAAAAGACAAAAAGAAAAACAACAAGAAACCATAATGGTCAAGAGTCCAGACCTGGCTAACCCATGACCCCATGACTTCTGGTAACTCCCTGAAATTTTTCGGATTCCCTCTTCTCAAATATTAAATGGTTCAGCAAAACACCTGCTTTGCCTATTTGAATAGGTAGGACTATGTGCAGAACATATGGATTTGGATGTAAAAGCACTATGTAAATCATTAATCGGTTATTAACTAAGACCCCCGAAGGGAAGTCGGGCATATCTCTCGCCTCATCTTTCTAGTCCTCCAACCTCTAACTCTTGCCTGGTTGGTTCTGATAATTATTAATGATAAGGATCATGAAAGTCTGGACCTAGTCTGACCCTGGGAAAACAATTTTGTCTTTTTTCAGCTACCCAACTTTCTCCTCTCTGGCTCCAGTTTACCCCACCCCACGAGCTCCTGTACTGCTCATTCTTCCCGGGACCCTCGTTCTTCCCACGACTTTTTAATGTTTTTTTTTGGGGGGGTGTCTTTTTGAGACAGGGTCTCCCTGTAGCCCCAGCTGGTCTGGAGCTCACTATGTAGACCAGGCTAGCCTTAATCTCACAGAGATTCTCCTGCCTCTGTCTCCCGATTGCTGGGATTAAAGTGTGTGTACACATTATGTGTGTGAATGAGCACATGCCATTGTACACATGTGGAGATCAGAAGACAATTGTGGGACTCAGTTGTTCCCTTCTACCATGTGGGGTGTGGGTCCCATGGATCCAAGTCAGGTCATCAGGTTTGGTACCAGGCACCTTTATCTACTGACCCAGCTCACTGGCCCTAGAATTTAAATACCAGGGAGACACTATTTCATGGATATAAATGAAATGCTATGGGAATTCAGGCATCAGTAGGGAGACCTTTACAACAATGCTATTTTTCTGTGGGGGTGGGGAGGGGAGATGGATATTCTTGAAACTCAGACATTAAAATCCCCAAACAAAATTCTGGCTTTTTCTTTTAAAGATTTGTCATTTTTATGTATTCTTGTGTGTACCTGTGTAAGTTTATGTGTACCGTGTGTGTGTGTGTGTGTGTGTGCGTGTGTGCGTGTGTGCCCAAGAAGGTCAGAAGACGGTACTGAATTCCCTGGAACTACAGTTAGAAGCAGTTGTAAACCACCATGTGGGTGCTTGAGAGCTGAACCCTACATACTCTGCAAGAACAGTAAGTCCTTGTAACTGCTGAGCCTGCTCCAGCCCCTGTGGTGTCTAAATACCTGCTTATGTAATGATGAAGCATCACCTTTCATTTGGTGACATCACCTTGTAGCTCCCTTCTACTTTTGATGGGCTTGGGGTGAAGGTTAGCCTGATTTAGTTGACAACCCTGAGGGAAATTTCAGGGGAAAGTTGAGTATATATTAGTTGGAAATGTTCTCTGGATAAATAGTAACTACTTTACTGAACTAGTCTGCTCTTGTTTTCCTGGGCCCCAGAGCAGTATGGACCGACCGACCTACCTACCAACCTTCCTCCCTCCCTCCC